GATGGTAGGTGTAAAAATTGAAACAAGCTTGCTAAGGTTACTGTCAGACTGGAGGGGCTTGCTTCCATATACATTTCCTTTATACCTTATAATGCTCAGTTATGTTTCAGGCAGAAAAATCATAGGACTAAGCTGCTGACTTTCTCAGTAGATTACATAATGGAAAATAAAAACATAAAATGCTTAATCTTAAGCTCATCATATCATATAGTTATCAAGTTAGTTTTGTTCTAGACACAGACATGACCAATACCCAAAAGACAACTAGGATACAGAATAGGCATTCTTATGCACTGTAATGGAGTAGCTATATAGGGCACTTTTTTACATTTACTAGCTGTGATAATTTAGGTTAGTGATCTTCTTTTCATTTAATCTTTCCCATATGAAAATGATGATAAAAATCTTTTTGAAAAGGTTCTTGGAGAACTAAGGCATTTCAAAGCCCCCATCACAGACCTGACATTTAAAGAGTTACTCTATTTCTTTTTTTTTTTTTTCTTGGTTTTTACGAGACAGGGTTTCTCTGTATTGTTTTGGAGGCTATCTGTCCAGCCCGGCCTTGAACTCACAGAGATCCTCCTGGCTCTGCCTCCCGAGTGCTGGGATTAAAGGTGTGCGCCACCACCGCCTGGCAAAGAGTTACTCTATTTCTAGAGCAGGGGCAGTGATATCAATTTGTGAACAGCAGGCACGGGGCCTCTGGCACACATCTCTGTTGTATTTGTCATCTGCTAGATGTTGCACCTATCTCCTACTGGCTGTTCCCAAACCAAGTATGTCATCTAAATCAAAATAGGCCCCAAGTCCTCTAATTCTCTGACATTATAGAAAACAGGCACTTTCATTAAACTGGCATTCTAAAAATAGAGTTTTAATGTGGGAAATCAATCTTACCAGATAATGAGAAGGCAAGCAGACAACTCAATACATTTTAAAATTAAACATTCTAAACAATCGAAAGATATTCTGACTTGATATTTACATGCTTATTATTATGCTCTTTGTCTCCTAACTAAATCACTGTTTGTCTAAGAGCAGAAAAACGGCCATTCCTAACACACAAGTGTCTCGGGTGTCTCAGGAAGGCTTCACTCAAACTGAGGTGGCAATGTGGCATTTTCAGTGTTAAGTAAAATGGATTTTGATGGATTTGGGCCAGCATTTCCAAGAACTTATGAAATGTTCCTATACACACCTCTGTCATTTCCTACTACTCATTCATGACAACTGGCAGTCTCAACACCAAGTGTATGAGAAATGTATGGAGCAGCTCCAACAGTATTGAGGACGGGCACTCAGCAGCGTCAGCTCTTCTATGAAGATGTAATCCTTTAGGTAAAACTAAACACATCTGTTCCATTCATCAGTAAGCTTGTTTTCATCTTTAAATTATATGTACACCAAAACTGTTTACAAATAAAATTATCCATAAATGTTTGACTTACATCCTAATTTCTATATGTATAAGGAAGCAGTGTGGGACTCTGTTTCAGAGCACAGAGAATTAAAGCACTGACTCTAGTTTACTGAACAGGAATTAACATGCTGAATCAATACCAAGAAAACTATTTTACTGGGGATGTTTTAACCTAATCTGAAATGCAGCTGACTTTTGAGACAAGATCTTACTACGCTGCTGAGGCTAGTCTAGAACTAATCATCCTCCTGCCTCAGCCTCCTGAATGCTAGGTTATAGGAAGGAATGTGCCACCCTGGATCAGTGGTTCCTTTAACTCATGTTTTTCCCCTCCTCATTTCAGGTGACTTTCACTGCTGTAGGCCAATTCAAATAAAATGTCAAAACAAGCACTTTCTGTTCTCATGGTAAAAACTTGGCAAATGTTTTCCCCACAGGTCTAAGACAGTTGCAAAAGAAGTGAGGACTGAGAGAAATGAGGATGCCTATCTAGTTTTAGGCAACATGAGACCGCAGGCCTCATCTGCAGGTCTGCCTTACTGCCTATAGTAGTGATTGTCAACCTTCCTAATGCTGTGGTCCTTTAATAGTTAGCTCCTTATGTTGTGCTGACCCCCAACCATACAATGCTTTCTTTACTTTCATAAGTGTAGTTTTACTACTATTATGAATCACAATCTAGCTATCTGTGTTTTCTGATGGTCTTTGGCAATCCCTAGGAAAGGGTCATTCACCTTCCAAAGAGGTCGTGACTTACAAGTTGAGAACCGCTGGCTTGTAGCTTGTTAATGCTTGCTTGCACTAAAAATAACGATACAACTTTTAGTAAATTAAATCAGAATACCCCAATGCTTTTTAAGTAACAGCTTTACAAGGCTGTGAGAAGACCAGAGAGGCCCCAACCTCAAACAGAAGAGAGCATTCCAGGTGTTCCAGACATTTCAAACTGAGTTAAACTATTTCTACTTCCAAGTCAGCTTCTCTTCTCTCCCATTTGAATTGTTGCTTCTTTCTAACACTCAGAAAATCTGAAATGTATGTTTAGATTCCACTTTTTTTGACTGAAAACTCTGCAGCCCAAGCCACTTGGACCCCGCAACATTTTCTAATGGCATCCTTCCACTCCGACTGTAAGCTGCACTACACTGTCACCACCGCTTTTAGTCCTCTCCCCTTCTCCACTACACACCCTTTTGAGCAGGCTTCCTGTTTACACTCTTGCCTCTTCCTGTCCATCCCAGATGCAGCTGAACAGTGCTTATTTATAAAACAGTTCACTTCCATCCATCGGCTTGTTTCCCACTCTGTTGAACCCAGACTCCTTCCTGCGAGAGAGACGCCGGCACTGAGCACACCTGCCGGCCAGCCACCCACATCTCATCTCTTCTCATCTAAGGTTCAGATGCTGCAGATGAACTTAGGATTTCCAAAGACTTCGGTTCACTCTGATTTTTAGAAAAGCCAACATTAATGGATAGTTTTACATTTCATTTGCTTGTGTCATTGTTTTGTATTTGTCCCTTTGGTATGGTATGAATTATACTTTGGACAGTAATATAAAATGTGTGTCTTAAAAGAGTTTGCAGGTGGTGGCAGTGCATGCCATTGATCCCAGCACTCAGGAGGCAGAGGCAGAAAGATCTCTTGAGCTCAAGACCAGTATGGTCTACAGAATGAGTTCCAGGACAGCCAGGCTACACAGAGAAACCCTGTCTTGAAAAAACAAAAGTAAATTAATTTAAAAATTAAACATTAGAAGATGTTCTATATACCTTAAGTATGTAAAAACTGACATTTGCTTAGAGGTCCTATAGCTACATCAGAATAGCCTGTTGACCTTAAATCTGGAAACCCAGCCTGACTCAGCTTGGAAAGGCTATTAAGGACATTTATATCAGATTTTATTCCACACAACTATCACCTGAATGCTGGAGCATGCTGACGCTGACTCAGAGCTGAGTCCTGGATTTGAGGGTATAAAATGTCTGCACAGGTGCTGCTGGCCTCATCAGCTCACTTGCAAATAGCAAGCTGTCAATCAAGTTCTCAGTCCTGAAGCCTACTGCAACTGTCTGAGTCATTTTTAAGACTGAACTCACTACGCAGCCCCAGCTCTTGTTGAACCCCAAATTCCAGCTGCCTCTGTCACCCCAGTGCCAAGATTAAAAGCATAGGTTACTATGCCCATTTTCTCAATAATTGGTAAAAACAAACAAACAAACGAACCACTAGCACTTCCGGGGTGAAAGACTGTTTAATATTTTGGGCTTCAGCTTAGTCACTAAGAGTTCTCAATGAAAAGCTACCACCATTTGATGTGAACCTTTGCTCTAAAATGGACTCGCCAATTTATTAGATTTCATTTTAGTGCTAGAGATATATCAGCAGTAATTTATGCCCTGAGATTAGGATTCATTACCAACCAGCCCTAAATTTAAGAACTGTAATGACTTCCTCTCTGTATTCCTGTTACGTTATTTAATAAAAGTTTCATTATTAAAGCTTAACATTACAATGAAAGAAAACCTGAGTTATTTTTAGAAAGCAGGTAAAGATGGATCATGAATGTGTCAGTTCTAGGCATCATAGAAAAAAATCTAAAGTTAACAAGTTTATCAAACTTGTTATAAATTCAAACATAGTCTACCACAAAGTGCACAGATTAACAAAAACTTAAGTTTATATGATGTAAGCATCACTGGTCCAGACTGCAGACAGAATTCCTATCATGTGCTAAACTGAGCTTTGTAAAAGACCCAGTTGCAATTCCATATCTCCGAAGTTCCCGATATAAGAAACGCACATCCAAAATATAAAAATAAAAAAAGGCTAAAGAGTCATTTGTACAAACGCCATATCTACAGTGGAGTCCTAAACTACAACTTCCCTGTAGTCATCTGAGTTACCCAATTCTCTGAGTATGATTTCTTCACACGTAACGCAGACCGGTAAGAATGTGAGAGCACAGACTAACACCACAGGCACCATGTCAGAGTGTAACACTGGTCCAGTCACACTAAGTAAGTAAAACACAGTGAACTAAAGAACGTGGCAGTGTTTTAGTGCAAAGAACAGAAGCCCAGAGCGGGGAAATGCCCAGATTTGCCGCTCCTCACTGCACAGTCAGCAAACCGCACACTTTCATCTCCTTTTAAAGTTCAGAGACAATGTGGAGAATCCCTAGTAGATCAGTCTTCTACTGCCTGAAATTAAATGTCTACAGAAAGTATGATTAAAACAGCAAAAGAGCAATAAGAGTGTTTTAACATCGACTAGTTTAACAAATCTCTAAAAGAAAATAACATTTTAGGCTTGGCTTTAATTACAGTTTGGCTACCACTCTAGGAAATGTAGACAAATCCTGAAAAAAAAAAAAGTAGAAAGAGGTGAGGAAATGGATCATTAAATGAAATGCAAAAACACCTTGCAGAGTGAAAATAAACTTCATGAGAGATTAAAAGATTTTTACAAGGAAAACCTATTAAAGCAGGTATATGGACTTTCACGCTCTTTTCCCCTTAGATACACAAATTGCTGTGCTCGGGTATTTAGAAAAAATAACTCCAATCAGAAACCATGATGCTTGGACAGTCTTGTCTTTTGGTTTATTTAATTTGAATACATGTCCTGTCAACCACAAAACACTAGTGTGACCAACACAAGAAATCCCAGCACGATCAACAAGTGCGGCTCTTGCACCTGTCAAGGGACGCTGAGAAGAAGCAACTATTAAATATCAGTTTTAATCCTCTTCAGAACTGGAATCATCCTCTTGGTCAGAAAGTTCCGGCACTGGGAAACGGAGAATGGCAGCGACTCCCGTCAACTGGCCAAGCTGTTCCCCAGACACATGGAGACTGGAGAATATCCGAACCGTGCCTGCGTTATCTTTCACGCTGTCCACCAGCCTGACGTACCGGCTCCGCGTGGCCACATCCTGATGCCGGAAGAGCTCATCACTGATGAGCAATGTGTCGATCGCCAAGGCTTCGTTGGCCCTCTCCACCTGCTTGAGTCCGTAGAAGGCTCGGTCAGGCTCGTGCTGTAACATTTTATAGAAGTCATCCAAGGCTTTGACTTCCCCAGCAGCTTTCGTGTCCGACAGGCGGCTAGCTACAGTAGGGTCACAAAGGACCTCTTTCAGGGAGTACTTGTGTCCAGAGGAGGCGTGTACCTAGAATCACAATTACAAAAGACAAAATCTTTGAAAGTATCCATTAATCAGCCCACAAAAGCAAAGACAAAAGCATGAATAAAGCCTTACCTATCTAAGGACTTTTGCAAAGATTACCTTATGAATGTGCTGGACACTAACTATACCGTTCCCTTTACGGATTCATTTATAATCCCAGTAAAATTGAGCTTTAGGCCTTACTCCTCCCAGTTCTAAAACAGCTGGACACCAATCCCTCTGCCCGCTCCTGACCATCTCCGGGTAAAGAGTTTTACCTGCAGGAATTTGGACCGGTTTTCCAGGAGCACTTTGTTGTCAGTCTTGACCGCTTGCTGAAACATGTAGTCGCAGAACTGCTCTCGAACAAATCCGGGGCTGGCCACCAGGACACACTTTACAACCTCAAAGTTGATGTGGCGCTGGATGGCCTGGACCACCTGTTCATAGAACCTCTCCAGGGCCCGGTCATGCTGGGCGCAGTTGCCTTTCCGTTTCCTGGGGATGTTCACCTCCACCTTGGCACGGGTGAGGGTCATACTGGGCGTCACTAAGCAGACGTGGGCGAGGCCCTCCTGCATGACCACAGCTGCCACATCGGCACTCCAGGCTGGGTCACAAGCCTGCTCGATGCGTTCCAGAACCACACTGTCCCACTGTTTCTTGGCCAGGGTGAACTGGCGGTTGGGCTCCAGTTCGATGGTGTGGTAAGCCCCCATCTTGACATACTCATTCTCTTGGATGTTGGTCCCCTTAACTCGCAGCTGGCAGGCCTGCGAGTCAAAGTCGATGGCCTCCACGCAGAGAGTGAGGGTGGTGCGGACACGGTTGCTGCCCACGCTGCCCGTGGAGGACTCGGTCTGGACCTTGCGGATGGTGGAGGCGCGCAGGCTGTCGCCCACCTGCACTAGATTGTAGGTGTGCCACATGTCCTCGGGCTCCTCGGGGACGAGGGTCACCTGGCCCGCATTGTCCTTCTCGATGTTCTTCCTCACAAGCTTCATGACCTTTGCCAGGGGCTCACTTCAGAGCGGGAGGCGCTGAGGGGGGTCCCCAAGAGAAAGAGAGGCAGGGTTGGGGCGAGGGGGTGCTACGCTGGGGAGGGGGCGGGGAAGAAACACTACCTCTGACTCCTGCAGCCCGGGGCAGAGCTTTCCCCCACGCTTTTCTCAGTCTCCGCGCGCGGATCCACGCTGCGCCGCGGACCCACCAGGCTGAACTCAGACAAGCCGGCACTTTCAGGCACCGGCCCCGCGCAAGTGGCTGACGCGGCGATCGCGCATGCGCAGCCCGCCTCCCGGCGCACGTCTGTCGTCCCTGCCGGAGAGGCGGGGCCCGTCGCATGCGCGCTCACGCAGGCGCAGTAACAGGAAAGTCGCATCCTGGCTAAAAAGTCGAGGGAGGCACAGAGCGGCTCCGGCAGCCACTCTTGCCTATTAAAGCCGAGCTCGGGGTGGCTGAGTTTTCCCACGCACGCCTGTGTACGAGGAACTGCGGAGTATGTGAGTGCTAACATATGTATCTCAACTGAGTTTGCCACTTTGCACCTCCTTCCTTGGTGTGGAGCCAGCTTCAAAACTTACGGAAAAGTGAAAAGAGCCCCGGAAAGTGCAGACTTAGTCCCCGAAGTCCAAACTCTGCCTGGTCTTGCTCATTCCTTCCCGGCACTCAGACGTGACGCGCGCTTGCTGGCACTGGGATTTCCAGAAGCCGTTTCTAAGAACTAGTCACGTTCGACCTGGCCTCAGCAACATGCCCAGCTGTTTTCTGCGCCTAGTTACCCTGTTTGCACGACCCAGTGAACCCACATGTTAAAGGACAGAACCCAGAGAGAGCAGAAACTATGCGTGGAATGTACCCCTGGTGGACCTCTGTGTGGCTTGACCTGATGTCCTGGGAATCCCAGAATCCAAAATTGGCAGTCAGCTCTCCGAGGCGCTCAGCGTGGCAGCTGGGCTGCAGTAGATTAGCGCTGATTCTCTCCCCGCGAATGACTGGCCAAAAGCTGAGGCTATGGGAAGTTAAGCTAAGCCGATCTACTAATTATGACCGCCGTCCAAAGAAAAACCATAGAATTGGTTGTAAAGAAAGAAAACCCTTATGTCCCCCAACCCCACCCCACCCCCTTTCACAGTGGCGATGGGAATATGGGAATGCCTCTTTCTTGAGACTGAAGACAGTGGGAAACAGAGAAGTCCTGAGCTCATACTTTCACAGTGTTTTAAGGATCTTAAAGCAGAGTTCTTCAGCCTTAATTGAAGAGAGGAGGTTAAAGGGAGGATAAATCATGTTAACTGATGGCAGCTTCCTTTCTTAAAGGTTGCCAGGGAGGTGGGGAAAGGCCCTTCCAAGACAGCCTTGTAAGTTAGAACTTTTATTTGCTTTGCATCCTCTCTCTCTCTCTCTCTCTCTCTCTCTCTCTCTCTCTCTCTCTCTCTCTCTCTCTCTCTCTCTCTCTCTCTCTCTCTGTCTCTCCTCTCTCATTCCTATTTCCCCCTTTCCATCTTCCTGTCACACAGAGTCCCTGTCTCACCCTGCCTTCTTCCTCCAAAGCCAGCAGCCTTTCACACTGGTCTCACTAGATGAAGACGGTGCTGCATAAGCTCTTAATGAATGAAAGGTTTTCACTGGAGTAGGATCAACTTTTGGAAATTTCAAAAACACTTTCCCACGCTTTCTTTTCTCATAAGGAAAATGCTACCCTAACTTGTAGAAAAGTAAGATGAAATTGTGTGGAAGCAGACAGACAAATGTGTTCAAGAGCATGTAAGTGGCATTCAGACTCAGGCCTGATGAACTACACACCCTGTTCCAGCAACCACCTGTCTGTCTTTTATACATCTAATCATCTGTGCAAATGCAAGTTACCAGCTGTTATCCCTGCCATCTCCTTTAGCTGATGCCTTTACCAGTTCTCTCTCCACAGTCTGGGAACCAGCCTTTGTTTCTACTAAGTCTAGGTAGAGGACCAGGGTTCAATTCCCAGCACCCACGTGGTAGCTCACAACTGTCTGTAACTCCATTTCCAGAAGATCTGACACCTTCGCACCAATGCACATAATATAAAGCTAAATAAATTATAAAAAGCATAAGTTTAAAAAATATGCATGCATTTACTTCTAATTATATTTGTAGAAAACCCACAATAACTCTAATTTATAATTCATGACTCTTGTAAATTCTAAGGCAAACATCTTTGAAGTGATTTTTTTGAGGGTGGGGTCGAATGTAGCACAAAATGGCCTCTACCAGAATATGCAAAATGTAGTAAAGGATGACCTTGAACGTCTGATCGTCCTCTTGCCTTCACCCCTTGAGTGCTGGGAGCAGAGGCATGTACCACTATATCCCCAGGCTTTTGTGAGGCTCCAATTTGGAGCATTGTAAACATTCTGCCCATTGAGCTGTGTCCCCAGCTCTTCACTTCCTTTTCAAATGTCAGTGCCCTCAGTGGTTGAACACATTACAGTATTTCTCAAGGACTTAGTTTGATCTGAAACACCCACAACAGCTAGAATAGCTAGGAATTTTTGTTTGTTTGTTTTTGTTTTGTAACTTGAGCTTAGTATTGAGTGATCAGATACCCCCTCCCATATTTTATGTTACCTTTAGTATATTTCTAAATCAATAATGATGCTGTTATTTTAGATTATTTGGAGTTGTATTTCTAACTGAACTTAAATCCCAAGGCTTTGCATTCAAGCCAAAGTGCTCTATCCTTAAATGTTGCACTCTCATCTTGAAACACTTTTTTATTTCACCGGTAGAATAACTTTTCCATCCTAGGAATCTTTATACTGTAACTAGTCATCCTGTTATCAAGATTTCAGTCTGTTTCTTGTGTCTATCTGGAAGGGGCAGCTGAAATGTTTCGGCCTAAAACCACACCCATGATAATCTGAATGCATTATCTGGTATTTTTGAACTTGGGGTTTCTTTCTTGTAGTATCCTTCCATGGTTCCTGAAAAGTCTTTTGCCTGTAGTGTCATATGTAATGGTAAGCTAGTCAGGCAGGAGTAAAGTATGACATCCATGTTAACTTTCCAGACACTTCTTAACACTCAGATTTCATTGCCAAAATTAGTTCATTTCATTTTAAAGTGATCATTAAAAATGACTATGGTTACAGATCGTTTTACTTTTATTTTCCCCCCCAAATCAAAATCTCAAAAAAAACAAGACCATGATTTAGTTTTGCTGCTTGAAATTGTCATTTGTACTTACTGGCTTTTGAAAATAGAAACCTTCACATAAAATATTTCTAATTATGTCTTGTTTTTTCTATCATGTTTATAGAAATCTTTCCAGAAGAAGAAAAAAGTCACAGTTGTCACCTTCAAACAATCTGGGTGTGTTGTTTCTGGGACACTGCAAGTGGAGAATTGGGCTGGGAGTCAAGAGAACCGTAGCCTTCACCCTTTGTTTGTTTTCACTGTAAATGTTGGCCCACTCGCTCTGTTTGAAACTCAGTTTCTTCTGCTTGACAATTGAAGGCATTGAAGTCAGTCCTTGAAATTGCTGTGTCAACTTAAGGAAGCTAACACCTGTGATATTTGTTTTCAGTCTTGTTCACCCATTTAAATCTGACTCTTTCTGCAACCCATTTTAGTGATTTGAGGTTGCATGTTTGTGCATCAAGAAATGGTATAAATTGGGCCCATGGGATACTTAAGTGGGTCTAAGGGTACCTGCTGCCAAACCTGAGTTGGATGCCCAGGCAGGAGAGCAATGACTATGAAGTGTTGTCCTCTAACCTCTACACCTACTCTGTGGCATACTTGAACCCCAACACCTGTCCACACAAAATAAACAGATGTAAAAAAAGGGGGGGGGTTAAAAAGAAACAGGACTTGGTAGACTTGAGTGGCCTTTTTTAGCTCGAGTCTATCAATGTTGGTCTACTCACATTTCTGTTTTTTTTCTTCATTTTATATTAAAAATACATTGTTCCTCTTCTCATATTGACAGTCTTCATGTTCTCACAGGAATTTGCTAACTGGTAGATTTACAGAGTTCTGTAAACAAGGCACTCTGGTAAATCTCTACAAATGCCTAGCTGGAAGCTAGAAATCAGAATCCCACAAAACAAAGCATCAGAATTGATCTGAACAGGCTCCTACTGGAAATAACTGTCCTGGGAGAGTTCGCTGAAGGAAAGCAGGCTGTGTGCATTTACTGTAGCACATTTCCCAGCTGTGCTAGCGAATGAAACGGTTCGTGTACCTCACTGTTTACTGAGTTGGGATAGTTCCTATTAAAATTATATGCCAGCAGTGGTTTGTATGATGGCAACAAGGATTCTGGGCTCTTAAAAGATGAGTATCGTGCTTGAATACTTGGTGCCTAGCACTTTATCTTGTTCTGTTATTCATTTAAATTGGGGGGCATTGTTTGTGGTTCTGCTTCCCTTTCTGGCGAGACTCACTTTGCTAAAGCTGTCCCACCGTGAGTATATCTCAACATTACTTCTCTGCGTCTATTGTGTCTTCCAGACCACAAGCTGCTGAGGGGCACAGACCACCTTCTTTACTGCCCAGCACTGTTGATGAACACTAACATGGCACACATGGAAGAGTGAGTGTCGGTTCTCTAATTTAGGGTTTTTACCGTGACTGTTACTGAAATCTTAAACATAAGAAACGGCTTTGCATTTTATGCTGTTACTAAAAACAATCGTGAGACTTAAGTTAAACATCTATAAAGCTATTTCTTTTTTCCTAATTTTTTATTTAAATTAGAAAGACGCCTGCTCCCTCTCCCTCCCCTCCTCCCCCACCCCCACCTATAAAGCTATTTCAGTTTTAAAGATATCTGTACCTACAGAGGAAAAGAGTGATTTTAAACACATCTTCCTAAGACAAAGTATTATAATATTTTACAAAATAAGTGATTATGCATGGTTTGAACTGTGATCTTTACAGCAATATCAGCAGTGAGAGCTCTGATTATGAATAACTGGGGACAAAGGCTATTTTCTAAAGAAAATATGCCAATTTTAGGCTGTACCAAGGCTCGTGG